GTTATTTTTAGCTTTCAGTTAACTTTTTTTTTAATAGGTCTGATCATTTTTTCCTAGATTAGGTCAAAATTCCCATATCTGTGGGCCCCAACAATAATCCAAAACATACTAGGTGACCAATTTGTTGGAGAACAGTCTCTGTTATAATTATTTTATTCTGAAATGTTATTGAGACACTGGCAATTCAGCCATTTGGGGTGTATTTGCAAAGTCCCTCCATCTCCACCCCAACCAAGAGATACTCACCTAACCAGTGCACTCCCAACGCTCATTTCACCTGTCAAAGCTGGCACTAAAAGCCACATTGTTTCTTCTGTCAGGTGACAGTGCTTGGGCCTCACAAATGTTTCCTAGACCCAATCACAGAGTATTATTGCTAGCTGTGACAGAAATAAGCAACAGGGGATCACTGGCAATGTAAGTATTTGTGTGCCCTGAAGGGGCAAGGTGACAGTTCTTTTTAAGATAAGCTAATATTAGGCAAAGCCTCGTGTTCTCAATTCTCTCCTTCATAGCCATATACATAATCAATCCAAATGTGTATGTTGATGGAAGAACATTTCAGAAGATCTCTGTTACATATATGGCTTTACATTTGCATTCTATTTCCTTGAAAGGTAATATACTTATTTTGTTTCAGGTTTTTCACCACTTATTAGTTCTTGCATATTTTAGGTTATAAAGAGCTTTGTGTCTTTGTATCAAGTTTTGGCTGTAAAACAATGTATTGTAATTAATGATTGTATTAATTTAAATGGAGTCATGCTGTTCTGTTGTCTTCTTCAAGCTAGAAGTTACACATGATTGTTATTTATTCATAATAGCACATTGTGTACAAACATAACATACTGTGCATCAGAATTTGTGCTGTATAAAAATTCATAGAAATTATTAGTGTGAACTGGCTCCCCCATTCATCATGAATAACAGATCTCTCTTTTCATAGCAGTTAAAATATGAAAAGCAATGTTCACAACAGTATATGGCTGCACATGACCGCATGACGGCATACAGAGTCTAAATAGCTGGCATATGGGAGCCCGTGTGCAGCGTATAGCCTCCCATTGTAATAGATACACTGCTATAAGAGGGACTATGACAGCACTTGCATGAATTTACACGTGTATACAGATGTGCAACCATGGAATTCAATGCAATGGAAGATCATTCTCTACACTGGCTGTATACGCTCCATGAACACTGTATGACCTTTGAGGCCATGTGTAAGAAGCTTAAAGGTGCTTCAATGCCCCATTCACACTTCAAATAGTGGGTACATGTTTTCCCACTCACGATTTTATGTGGTTGATTTACACACATTTCTGCATGTTGCACATAGGGCAGCCCATTCATACATGTCAATGCTTGGTGTGTGTGGTTTCTGTGTATCTATGTGATGTGTACTGGTGGCTACTAAGGAGAACATAAGGAAGCAGATGGACATCTAGGGGTACAATAATGCAGACATGGCACGGCTGCTGGAGCAGTGGGAGGTCAATGGGTTAAGATGATGAGAAGTGACACACAGAGAAGAGGCTGGGAATGTGCATCACCATCATGTACATCACCATCATTATTATCTGTATTGTTGTTTATATCTGCTGGTAGCTGAGATAGAAGTACCAGCAGTCATCAGGGTCAGTCTGTGGGGGAATCAGTGTATATGGGGTCAGTCTATAGACTGGGGGTGAAATCAGTGTATATGGGGGTCAGTTTGTAGATTGGGGGGATCATTGTATGTGGACAGTCTGTAGCCAAGGCCCTTGCTGGTGGAAATAGTAATTCATTTTGGGGGTGCTACTAGCTGGTCTTGCCTAGGGCACAAAATAGTCTATAACTGGCCCTGGTCACCCTAATCTGTGACATTGCACAGATTGGCGTGCCGGCACTGACTATCATTTACAGGGGCTGGTTTGCGGGTGCACATGTGCACTGCCGGCCTGAAACTTGCCCATATATATATACAGTTGCAAGAAAAAGTATGTGAACCCCTTGGGATTACGTGGAGTTTTGCATGAATTGGGCATAAAATGTGCTCTGAACGTCATCTAAGTCACAACAATAGAAGAACACAGTCTGCTGAACATATACTACACACACACATTAGATGTTGCCATGGTTTAATTGCACATAACATGTAAATATTCACAGTGCAGGGAGGAAAAAGTATATGAGGCCCTAGCTTAATGACTTCTCCAGAGCTAATTGGAGCCAGGAGTGAGCCAACCTTGACTCCAATCAGTGTGATGATATTGGATGTGTTGCTGACAGCTGTCCTGCCCTTAAAAACACACACCTGTTTTGGGTTTACTGGTTTCAAAAAGCACTGTCTGATGTGAACCATGCCTCACAGAAAAGAGCTCTCAGAAGACCTACGATCAAGAATTGTTGACTTGCATGAAGCTGGAAAGGGTTACAAAAGTATCTCCAAAAGCCTTGATGTTCATGTGTCTACGGTAAGACAGACTGTCTACAAATGGAGAAAGTTTAGCAATGTTGCTACTCTCCCTAGGCGTGGTCATCCTGTAAAAATGACTGCAAGAGCGCAGCGCAGAATACTGCATGAGGTAAAGAAGAATCCCAGAGTGTCAGCTAAAGACCTACAGAAATCTCTGGCACATGCTAACATTTTTGTTGACACATCTACAATAAGGAAAACATTAAACAAGAATGGAGTACATGGGAGGACACCACGAGGAAGCCATTGCTGTCCAAAAAGAATATTGCAGCACGTTTGAAGTTTGCAAAAGAGCACCTGGATGTTCCACAGCACTACTGGCAAAATATACTGTGGACAGATGAAACCAAGATTGAGTTGTTTGGGAAGAACACACAACACTATGTGTGGAGAAAAAAAGGCACAGCACACCAACATCAAAACCTCATCCCCACTGTAAAACATGGCGGAGGGAGCATCATGGTTTGGGGCTGCTTCGCTGCCTCAGGGCCTGGACGGATTGTTGTCATTGATGGGAAAATGAATTCCAGAGTTTATCAAGACATTTTGCAGGAAAACGTACGACCATCTGTCCGCCAACTGAAGCTCCGCAGAGGATGGGTGATGCAATAGGACAATGACCCAAAGCATATAAGTAATTCAACAACATAATGGCTAGAACAGCACAGAATACGCCTTCTGGAGTGGCCCAGTCAGAGTCCTGACCTCAACCTGATTGAAATGCTGTGACATGACCTTAAGAGAGCGATTCACACCAGACAACCCAAGAATATTGCTACACTGAAACAGTTTTGTGAAGAGGAGTGGTCCAAAATTACTCCAGATCGTTGGTGCAGGTCTGATCTGCACTACAGGAAACGTTTGGTTGAGGTTATTGCTGTCAAAGGAGGGTCAACCAGTTATTAAGTCCAAAGGTACACATACTTTTTCCTCCCTGCACTGTGAATGTTTACATGTTATGTGCAATAAACCATGGCAACATCTAATGTAAGTATTATGTTCAGCAGACTGTGTTCTTCTGTTGTGACTTAGATGACACAGAGATTTTATGCCCAATTCATGCAAAATTTCCACGTAATCCCAAGGGGTTCACATACTTTTTCTTGCAACTGTATATTATATATATATATATATAATATAATATATGTATATATATGCAGTATATATATATGTAGTTTATTGTGGAGGGGTGACACAATATTTTACAGCACTAGGCAAAATCTTCGCACTGAAATTACTCTGAAGCAATTTGCAGAGAGTTAAGCTGGCTCTATACTACAATAAAATCTTTAAAATTGCCTAGCATCAGATATGTTTTTTAATGTTATAAAAACATGCATACTAAATAATATGTTGTAAGTGTAACACTTCCAGGTATTCATTACCTTTCACAAAGATCACAGCTCTCCCCTGACAATGTCTTTTTTTCCCACTGAAAGATAGGGATATCTTTGTTCAAGCATTATCCAAAGTCGGCATCTACTTCCTGCACTGAGATGTTGGCTCAGAGATGACACAATCATGTAAATCCTGTGCTTGCGTAGTTCTTGGCTCTGTTCACGTCAAAAAGAGATCAGCTCCAACTGCTGTCTACCCTTGTCTCTTACTACAAAGTTTATATGTTGCAGTCTTATAACTGGGAAAGTAGTAATTTCTTCTGCTGCTGACTGCAGCAAGCTGATGAATGCATCTCAGCCTAGTAAAAGTCACTTGTCTATAGCTCATAGACTGTCATTTAATTAATTATACTGTTTTCTGTATATTGTGACATCTTAAGATTTATTTTTTGTGGACTAACATTTCTGAAAGGTTTAAAAATCACAAACACATATGTGATGGCTAGGGTGGAACATGCAGACAACCCCTGCCAATATTTGCCTTGGAGGGAAGAAGAATAAACACTTTTGGCCATGTGCAGTGGCTTGTCAGGAATGTCTGCTGATGAATGTAGACATAATTATAGGCTCAAGAAAAAAACTCTCATATCTCTGGGTACCCCTAAAATCAAAAAAGCATTTAAAGTGATATTAAACCTTTATTCTTTTATTTTTGCACAAAGCAGTCCTGATCCTCATCTTCTGAGGTCCCCCACTAGCACTCCTGGCTCCTCCCCTTCTAAGTACCCCCTAGCAAGCCACTTGCTAAGAGGGTTACTCATGCAGGATCGCTCCTGAGCCCCTCTGCTTGCATCCATTGACAGAGACAGTGTGACTTTGCTTAACCACCCACCCCTCTTCATTGGGAAGGGAGAGAGCGGAGAGAGCTGCTGCTCTCGTGTACAGTGCTGGATCAACATCAAGCTCAGGTAAGTATAAGAGAGGTGAGGGGGGATCCTACATTAAGGCTACATTAAGGCTTTGAAATCGCTTTTACAAAAGAGGAAGAACAGTCAACACCCACATCAAAAGTTGTAAAGTTGTCTGGTCTGTTTTCTTTTGGTCTATTAGAACTTTGCATAGTCAATCTTCTTAGATTAAATACAGATATTGTAACATAGTAGACTTGGTTAAGTAAAAAGCTAAACTGGATTTTTCTTCTCCAGGTTATTCATCAATTAAGGCTATCTGAGAATGAGAGCGCCTGCATTACAAGAGCTAATGGATTGGAGACGAAAGCTTTGTGAAGACTCGGAGGACTGGCAGAAAGACTTGACAAAGACTGAACAGACAAATGCTGCTTCAACTCAATCCTCTTAGGTGGAATATGTACTCTAGTGAAGATTTAAGCTACCACCTCCTATGATAAAGAAACTTTTTATCTGTCAGGGCTCCGTCTTTGTGAATATCTCCGTGCTCCAACAAAGACTGTTCACTTTATATAATAAAAAAAATGTTTTTAAATCGGTGTAACAATCTTTGAAAATGGAAAGCATGAATTAGTTCTATGCCTCGTTGTTAATCTGTGTGTTAATATATATGGTGATATACTCAATGTTCATTGTGTTCCAGATATAATCTAAAGTGAGAGGTTCCCAGCAAAAGAAATATGTAAAATGACAATATATGGAATAGTTCTCAGATGTTAGGGTGAATGTCTTCAATGATTGTTTTTATATAATTAAAAATTTGAATCCTGTGCTATTCTGAATACAGATGAATACTGTATAATTGATGTGAGTGAACCTGTGTGTCTGTACCTTGTGCACACGAGAAAAACTACAAAAAATATTCTATGCACTCACTTAGCAAACAGGAGTAAGTTTATAATAAATGGTGTTACTCTTTGGAAATTAAGTGAGTAATTATGTCACATAGTATATATCCATTTTCACCCAAAATTTATTGTAGCAAAATTCCACTCAACAATGAAAATGTGCTGAAAATGCCTTCAGCATGCTTTTACACTTGTTAGGCATTCCTTGTCCTCCACAACTGGGTCTGGAATTTCCAACATTCATGCTACGTTTGGTACTTTGAACACCACCTGACTGACTATCACTGATAATATCATGTAAACAAATTGGTTCTCTTAGGGGTGGACAATGACTCTTGCAGAACATAGGCATGATGACCCACTTTTGTAGGAACAGCAGAGGTGAGAATAAGGGGGCTGAGTGTTTTTATTCACCAAACCAAAGCACAGTTTTGTAATGTTTGGTTTTTAAGCACAATACGGCCCAACAAGATTTCCACCTCTCTTACGATAGCCACCTTCTATTTAATACAGAGGGCTTTGTTTGATTACTATATACTGCACAATTAAAATTAATATATGTATAAATTGATGTAAATATTATCTGTATAAATGGTTCTGGGTGATACCATCACCTGTAATATCGCCTTTCATTGACATTATCACTTTAGTAGTAATTAGAAACACCTACAGTATGTATTATAAAAATGACATACCCATACTTTAGAATATAATAATATTAGAAGAGTTCCAGGATATATAGGATGAGGATGATATTACATGATAGCAGAAGTTAACAAGAAGGAAAGGTTACATGTTTTCCAGTGTTAATGTGTGCATTACCTGAAAATGCAAAGAAAAACTTGCAAATCTTCAATCACTATCCATGTTTACTGCCAGATTTTATACCTATTCAGAAATGGTGCTGCTGTTCTTCCTTGCTGATGCAGTTAATAAATGCCAGTATTCAATTTCGTATTGTTTATGTTTTATCTTGCGTATCTTGCAGCAGTGTTTACAAGAGAAACATTTAGTTACAGTGAAAAGCTGACTTCTTAGTTGCATTTCACAAAAAGCATTAACCTCAATAAATATAATGTACCTATCACTTTTGCATCCTTATCTAGAAAATCTAACACAATTCGTTATTGTGAACATAGACTAAAGGAACCAAAAAGAACACCACTGGTTCTTTAGCCCATTCTCACCATAACCTTCTGGGTTATACATTTTTGTACCTTAAAATGGAACTTCACCCAAAAGGGGAAGTACCACTCTTTCTACTCCACATTTGGAACATAATTTTTTTGGGGGGGAAGCAGGTTTATGATTTTGACAGGTACCCGTTCCCCCACTTCAGGTGAGATCGCCACAGCAAGTTGAGCGGAGGCTCACCCCCCGTCCTTCTGAGACATGTCCCAGGTCCCAGGAAGCTTGGACCACGCAAACAGAGTGGCTTGTGCATGTGCAGTGAGTAGCCGAATGTGAAAACAACAGCAGTCATAGCCAGATGCCCACACTTAGTATGCCAGCGTCATGGACCAAAACCCAATGAAGAAAGTGGCCAGGTGAGGACATTGCTGAATCCTGGACAGGTGAGTGTCCTATTATTAAAAATCAGCAGCTGACTTTTAATTTTTTTGCAATTTAGACTGAAGAGCCGCTTTATGCCATTCTCCATAGATTTTTTTTCTAATGCACTGCTGTAAGCCGACAAGCCTGAAACAGCTGTATGCATTTTGGAATAAATGGCAATACAACATTAGGTGTTGCAAACACCTGTGTTCTGGATGTACAGTTAGCCATAGGGAACAAAGTGATGATCTGTATAGGTCCATCCGCTATCACTAAAATAATCACCTTACTTTTTGGGATATGTGATGGAATGAGATATGTAAATATCTACTGTTTTAAAAAGGCTCTGCTGAGCTATATATCCTTACCTGAGAACCACTTAGGCATAGTTAGTTTACTTGGAGCTGTCTGTATATGCTTTTCAGGGTCTGGTTTCAGTTTGCTAACTTCGAAAAAATGGCATAAACCCATATAAAATAGTGTAGATAAGCACAGTATATTTAAATTCAATTGTATGAAAAGTAATACTACAAGAGTAAGTCTGTCACTCAGGTTTTCTGAACAACAATGTGGGCCTATAGCTCAAATGAGAAATAATAATTATTTACTGTCAGCACTACTGTAATGAGCATATAATGTAGAGTAAGATACAGTAGTATCTGTCAATGACGTGCAGACATTTGCATTTACGGTATTGAAAATTTATCTGGGATTTATACTTCCATTTGACAATTTACAAATAGCAAAGCTGTAGATTTTCAAAGACTTACTGGTTCAAAGTTGCACTAGTTGATGCTGAAAATCTTTCAGTTGATCCCCTATGAATTTAATTTACAGTACAGCTCTGACTGGATGCTTTCCATGATCATCTTTGGCTTAGCTCCTAAGATCAGAAAACAGGTTGGGAAAAATACAACTGCAGCCTCCCATCTGCTATGGTTTATGTAATACGCTGCAAAATTAATATAGACCTGAAGTAATGGTTAAGTAAATAAAACACTGACTATAAGTTGCTATTCACATTTTAAAATTTAAAAAACAGTAACTACTAATACTGTTCAACAAATAGTTCAGCTGTTCATAATGCAATGCATCCTGTCTAAAGACATATTGACAGCTACCATTGTTGATCTTCTTCTGAAAATGCTAGTTGTCTGTCTGTTATACTGACCTGATAACTTCAGTTCTATGTATGGGTCACTGTCTTGTTACGAGTATATGCATATGAAGGAAGTTGTTTTTGGGTCAGTGTTTCAAAATAGTAAAGCAAAAGGATCGGAAGAACCTAAAATTTTCAAAGTAAACCAGCAGCCATATAGGTGTTATATGTGTTCTCTATAAAACACTGAAGCCAGATATCTCACAGATTCTTACACCCATGGATCTTTGTATATATCCTCTCCTATAATTTAACCTATTTGTTGAACTACTTCCTGTATTTTGGAACAATGCCACTATATATGTACCATTCTGCCTCCTTCCCACATCCCCTCCAGCAAAACAGTGAATTCTCTGGATTATCAGTTCTACTGGTTGTGACATACCATCTTGCTATAAATGTATAATTCATCTCCACTGTGTTCATATCAACCACCCCATGTGCGATCCTAAACATTTTCTTTCTCTGCTGCTCACTTAACTGTATTTTCAATTCTTTTTCCCATTTACCCATATACAGTGGAACAATCGGTTCAGTAATTGTAGAAAGTGTCCTATAAATGCACGAGGTGCAATGTTTTTGTGTTCCTTTTAAATTCAGTAATTGCTCTAGTGGATACAAATTTTCAGCCTTTCTCAATGGCTGTGGAAGTGATGCAACAAAATGTCTCAGTTGATAGTACCGCCATTCATCCATAATCTGAAACATTTCCCCTTACTGTTTCAACTCCTGTAAAGTGTTTATCTCCCCTTCTTTCATAATATCCTTTAACTGTGCATTCCTATCTATAATTCATGTTCCTACAATAGTACTCATCCCTGGTGGAAAATAATTAGTTCCCACCAATTGTATTAATGGTGAATTATACTCCCATCTGTTTGTTTGTGAATTAGATCTCATATCCTAAATACATTCTTAGTGAAAGTGCTAGTGTTTTCAGAAAACATATGATATTGTTGTGGAACCCAAATTATTTCATCTAATTGTGTTTCACTCAGTGTTAATTCAATCCCCACCAAACTTTTCTCTTGTGGATTATACACCCATTCCATTATTCATGATATAATTACTGCACAATAGTTCGCTTGGTATATACTCTTGAGTGACGGGGTTAACTTTACTTATAAATACTTTTATTCTTTATCCTGCCATTTAAAAGGAAATTTATCTTGTAATACTTGCCTTCCTACTTTAAATATATTATTATCTAAAATCTCAGATTTTGCAAGATTAATTTTAAGATTTGATAACTCACCGTAATATTTTAAAGTTCGCATTAGATTTGGCAAAGTTACTCTGGGGTTTACTACGTAAAATATCATATCGTCTGCATACACTGCCACTTTATGTTCTACTTCTCCTATCTGAATCCCTTTTATGTCTATACTTTTCTGTATAGTTGCTAAAAGGGGTTCCAAAGATAATTCAAACAAAAGAGGTGAAAGTGGACAACCCTGCCTAGTTCCATTATACATTTCCAAAGGTTCTGACAATATACCATTAATTTTTACCGTTGCTGACAGGTGACAATATAAAGATTTTTTCCACTGAAGCATTTTTGGTCCTAATCCTATCACCTCTAAAGTGCTCATAATAAAACCCCAATCTACCCTGTCAAATGCTTTTTCAGCATTTATTGACAGGAATAGAACTGGGGACTTCTCATTCTTACTCTCTTGTAGGAGGAGTAATGATTTCAGACCATTATCTCTGCCTTCTCTTCCTGGTATAAACCCAACCTGATCTATGTGTATCAACTTCGGCATTAGATCTTTCATTTTACTAGCAATAATTTTTGCATATCGTTTCATATCTACATTTAGGTGTCCA